CTGCCCTGCTAAGACAGGAAGTCGTATCTGCAAAACCCAAGTTTTGAGATATTAAGCAATTTGTAAATTATGACATGCCATCTTCGCTTATTTGCAAAACTGTTTTAAGATCTCAATGTGAACTTCACGTTAATAAACTTACACAAGAAATCTTAAGGTTTACTACTAAGTAATTTTGCAGTATAGTACTCATAGTTTAGCAAATAACATAAAAGCAAACAACACAGACTTTGTAAGAAAAACATATATTAACTAAAAATAATACATTATCTAATACTAGTCACTTTCAATGTCATTTCCGTCGTTCCAGTTCCATTCCAATTTTTGCAGCAATTTGGCTTTCCTATCCTTGTCAATTCCTTTAGGGGCCAATCTGATCACAGGTTTTGGTAGGTCATTTTTATAATGTTTGGCCAATAGAAAGTTGAGTTCAATCAATGGTCCACTAAATTTGGTTTTGTAAAAAAGGTTTTTAGAGCCCCTTTTAAATTGAACCTCAACAAAATTTGCTAAATAAGGTTTAGGTGTAATTTTGCTCATTTTGAATCTTGAAGAATAGTCAATAAAATCATGAAAATCATTAAGGCTTATTTCCATCATCTCTACTTTTGAACTATTTGATTTTAAATAGTAGGTAATTGTATTACTTCGCCTGGAGTCTTCATAGTTAGTTTTTCTTTTTTTATCGATTTTTTTTAACGTGGTAAAAATAAATTGACCCTGTTGTTCATGGGTCATTTCCCAGAATTCTTTATTTATATCATTTTGTGTCCATATGTCAATTGCTTGGGTACCTTTTTTGTACCATTTTCCTTACATGTTTCTTGCACGTCATGCTGTGCAATTTTTTCCTCCCTTTTCAGTTTCTTTCTTTCCTGTAGTGATTTGATGTAACTTTTCCTTGTTTAGTGAATTTTCGTGATTAATTTTCTTCTCCGGTTTTCAAAGCATTTTCTATGATAAAGTTCAATAAATCTCTAATGAATTCTGCAGGCTTTTCACTTGCGGTCTCAGTTGGCAATTCAGACTACACAGTAAAATCTGGATCGTGTGAATTATCAATAAAATTGTTGTTTAGTCTACCATGTATATTATTAACTCTATATATGGACATTTTTTGAGCTAACTCCTTGTTTAGGGCGAGTAAAACTAACATTTTAGATCTAGCAGACATCTAGAAATAAATAAAAAACACATAACCTTAGAATAACTGGCACGGATGAAACACTTATGAAAT